TGGCCGTCTGATGAGTGAGTGAATGAATAAGGGAGAGAGGAGGGATATAGTAGAAACTCGCCATTACCACGGAGGAAGGTTACCTCTCCACTTGTCATGGCCGGTGTGGGTATGCATCCAGTTCTGTGTAACAGCAGTATTTGGTTATTTAGATGTAAATTGGAGAAAGCAGGGGAGCTATATCATAGTTCTATTCTGCACCATCCAGAAGTAAAACTAAACTCTTCAAAACCTTCTGTGTGCTCAGGCGTCTGTCAGCAGTGCATAGGCCTTAAAGGTGCAGTTAGGACCGTGCAGTGTGTGTGTGTGTGGGGGGGTGTGGGGGGTACAGGCTGCCTCTGAGCAGTGTCTGCCTGGCAGGGAGGAGGGGCAGGGGTGAGGAAGATGAGTGGATTCTGCAGAAAGCGGCAGGTTGTTCATTAGTGGAAATTGTTGTGCCTAAACCCATTCTTAGGCAGCAAGAGTTGTGTGATGGAGGTGTGTGGTCTCCATGGAGGAAAGCTGGAAAAAGGTTTTTGAGGATATCCATTGAACTGCTGGGTCTGTTCCTTTGGTGGGGAGTATAGGATTTCCATTTCGTTGAAGCCGACTCCATCATGAGCTGGTTCTGATGGAATCTGATGGTCAGGAGGAAATTAGAAAGGACAGTGTGGTCTTCTGGGTTAAGCGGATGGACTCTGGAGCCCACAGCCTGCCACTCACCAGCTAATAACCTCAGGCAAACCACTTAACCCCTGGAAGTGGTTTCCTCCTCTGTAATGGTGCAGTGATATTCCCACCTGAGAGCATCACACGAGAATTGGTAAGTTAACCCTTGCCAAATACTTAAATTCTGCTGGGTGCATAAAAGCGCTCATTAACTGATGATTACAGTGAGTAGTTAGTATAGTAACTAACCTATGTTACAGACTCAGGTCTCTCCTGAGGCCCTCTTCAGTCCGTGTTCTGATTTGTGTGTTTTATAAGGGAGGAGGTTACTGGGCCCCAGCTCAGTACAGAGCAAGAGATGCTTGTCCTATGGGGGGAGGCACCCAGGCAGCGGCAGGAGTCTGTGACATTCCAGTACCTTTTGTTGAATGCCATGCAGGTGATTCCTGTTTTTCTCCTTATTGATTTTTTTTTTTAGAGAGAGAGGAAAGGAGAGAGAGAGAAACATCGATTGGCTACCTCCCGAATGTCCCCCACTGGGGACTGGGCCCACAATCTTGGCATGTGCCCTGACCGGAAATCAAGCTGACAACCTCTTGGTGCGTGGGTCAACGCCACTGAGCCACACCGGCCGGGCATGATTCTTTCTAATTCTGGATTTTCCTTTGGCCGTGGCACTTGGCTCGGAGCATCTGCTTGTGGCGTTGTGGAAGGGAACGGAGGAAGGGGATGTGGTATCAGATTCAGGCTCAAGCCATTAGCTGTGTGAACCTGAGTCAGTCACAGCTTCTGGGAGTCAGTTTCCTCATCCGTCAAGTTATATGCTGGTGGTGAGGTCATCATTATTAAACTCACGTAGGAGATTGGATGTGAAAGCCCTTTGTAGACGTCAAATCTATAACTTGTTTAAATCCATTTAAAAAAACAAAATGGCTCATAAAAGAATGTGAATTTAGTCCTGGCTGGTTTGGCTCAGCGGTTAGAGCATCAGCCTGAGGACCAAATGGTCACGGGTTTAATTCCTAGTCAAGGGCACATACCTGGGTTGTGGCTTCAATCCCCAGGCCTGGTTGGGATTGTGCAGGAGGCAGCCAGTTGATGCGTCTCTCTCACGTCGATGTTTCTCTCTTTCTCTCCCCCTCCTTTCCACTCTATCTAAAAAAATCAATGGAGCCCTGGCCAGTCAGCGGTTAGAGCATCGGCCTGTGGTCCAGTGAGACCCGGGTTCGGTTCCTGCTAAGGGCACGTACCTTGGTTGCATTTGTCCCCAGCCCTGGTTGGGTTGTGCTGGTGGCAACCACTCAATGTGTCCCTTTCACGTCAATGTTTCTCTCTCTTTCTTCCTCCCACTCTATCTGAACAAAAAATGGAAAAATGTCTCGGATGAGGATAAAAAAAAAAAAAAAAATCAATGGAAAAATATTCTCAGGTGAGGATTAACAACAACAAAAGTGTGGAATTCATCTGTATATGTGTGTGATTCCATCCAAGTTCCATCTGATGATGATGTCTTATAACACTCTCTCTGGCTTCCCATCAGTTTGGTGTTAAAAAAAAAAAAAAAGTAAGACTGAAACATAGGTTGGCCAGGCCTTGATTACTCAGGCTCGGGGCTCTTGAGACTGGTTCTAGCTTGTCCGGGACCGTTGGGATGTACTTAGCAGCAAAGCCTCTCCCACAAGACGGTTTGAACCAAATGCTGGAAATTCCAGAGCTCTTAGCAGCTGAGCACATACAATGAAAAGCTTCTATTTTCATTTCTTCAAACCTTTCCCCTCGCTCCCCCTTGTTTTAGCTTTATGGGTGGTCACGTTCCAGGATAGCGGTGTTGAGGGAAATGACTGTTTGATCCCTTTTAAAATAGTCATTTTTTTAAGAATAAAATTAAGTAGCATGATTAAATATTTAATAACATTAGATATTCTAGAGTCAATCACTCACTGGGCAAATACTTGAGTACTTCCTGTGTGCTAGTCGTCGTACTGGGCACTGAAGATACCACAGTGCCAGAGGCAGACAAAATCTGCCCTCACACACCTTACTGTTTAGTAGGTCCTCGGACATTAAATAAATAAACCCACAAAATAAATGTACAAACCTAATGTGACAAGTGCCACGACTGGAGGTCAGGGAAAGCCTCTTGGAGCAGAGCCATTGAAGCCGAGACCTGAAGGATGAGAAGAAGTTAAGTAGGCAAAGATTATAGCAGGTGCCAAGGTCCTGTACTGGGAAAGAAACAAGAAAGACTTCTGGAGCTGCTTAGATGGGGACTCTCTTTAACACGATTCGGTTTGATCATGATAAATGAGTTTGATCAGCCTGCTTTCTTTGGAGGTAGAGTTTGCCAGTCCAGAAGCATTGCCAATTCCAAATAAAGTGATGCTTAGGGCCATTTGTTAAACAAGGGGTGGATTGTTCTTTAGAGAAAGCAAAATATACATGAAGTCACCTCAGATCAGTCTTCTCAGGAAGACAGCAGAAAAGGAGAGGAATTTGTTTTCACTGCGTGTCCTGGTGACTCAGAGACTGGCCCCACCGTGCTGACGAGGAGAGCGGCCCACGCTTGCCTGTGTAGATGTCTTTTCCCAGTGGCTGCAAGAGAAGAGGTCTGACCTTGGCTCTCTGGTAGATGGGTGATGGGAAAGCCAGAAAGGAAGGTGAGGAGGTCAGGGTCTCTGCACTGGTTTCCACATCCTGCTACATTCCAGGGGAGTTTTGCCTGATAGAGTCACAGCATGTCAACGCCAGAGAGACCTCAAGGATCGAGGCATCTACCCTTCATTTTATGGCGTTGGGTGTGGATGAGGAGATGGACTGTGATAGCCACCAGCCACCACGCGAGGCGGGCCTGTTCAGTGTGGTGCGGTTGGAAACCGCATTGGAGATGGAGGCTTAGGGCTTACGCCTTGCATCTTGCTTTGAAGGGCCTCTGGCCTCTGGTTCCACTTGACAGACGCTCACATGGCACAAGGTCTTCCTCAGCTGGCTCCCAGGTGTCAAGGGCCCTCTCCAAGGGGAGGCCTGAACCCTGTGGGCACTGGGATCTGAGTGTGTTACCACCAGTCTGCTCCGGGGGGACTTGGAATTCCCATTAAGGAAAGTCTTTTATGTCAAAAGTCACGGGCTGACACTGGCGTGGTAGTAATGTGCTCGGTATACCTTGGTCTAGAACAGTGGTTCTCAACCTTTCTAATGCAGCGACCCTTTAATACAGCTCCTCATGTTGTATGTGGGCGTATCTGCACGTGGGTGGACCCGCCTGGAGACGATAGAGGAGCCGTGTCTCGGTTCCTAAGACCGTGGGGAATATGTGTTTTCCGGTGGTCATAGATGACCCCTGTGAAAGGGTCATTCGACCCCTAAGGGGTCGTGACCGACAGGTTGAGAACCGCTGGTCTAGGAGATGCCTAATAGCAAAAATTACTCCGAGTTTAGAACTACTTCAAAACGAGTTGGTATTTTGTTCATCACAATAGCATCTGTATTTACTCAGAAAATAGTTGTGCATCAATGTGTGAGACATGCTGTTTATTCAGTTCACATGTACTAGTCAGTAGGCGGAGGGGTTTCGATGACCCACTGCAGTAAGTGATTTGCTCTCTCAAGCATTGCGGGCCCATAATCTGGAAAAATTAGTTCAGAAGCATAGACCCTCCGTAAACCAGCGCCTCCAAGGGATGACCCTCACCGTAGTCCACTTCTCGGGTGGGAGGGGACAAACCATGTGAATCCTACACCCACACTGCAGATTTCAAAATATTCTCATTGCCTTTTTTTTTTTTTTTTTTTTATCCTCACCCGAGGACATTTTTCCATTTTTTTTTGTTCAGGTAGAGTGGGAGGGAGAGAGAGGAACAGAGAGAGAGAGAAACATCGATGCGAAAGGAACACATCGAGTGGCTGCCACCCGCACAACCCAACCAGGGCCGGGGACAAACTGCAACCGAGGTACGTGCCCTTAGCGGGAACCGAACCCGGGTCTCTCAGGACCGCAGGCCGACGCTCTAACCGCTGAGCCAAACCGGCCAGGGCTCTCATTGCCTTTTTTAATTACAGAAGTAATTCAAGCTCATTATAAAAACCAGAAACATCCCAGAAATGTATAACAACAATTTGGTGTCCAGTATTCCAATTTGTTTTCTGTGCATGAAAGATTTTTATATAGACACAGATGTTACTGTACATAATGGGGTGTGTGTGTGTGTGTGTGTGTGTGTGTGTTTAATGGCTTGGGTCGTTTATTTGAAGGAAACGAGGTTCGGTGGGAAGAACACCGGGTCTTGGTGCAGGGTTGGAGTCCTCCCTCTATAATGAACTAGTTGGCTACTACTCTGCTTTTTTTCTTTCTCCAGGTCACTCCTGGGAGCAAGGCGGCTATAGCTAATTTATGTAGTGGAGATGTAATCACAGCCATCGATGGGGAAAATACCAGCAGCATGACGCACTTGGAAGCTCAGAACAAGATCAAGAGCTGCATAGACAACATGACTCTCACTGTAGCCAGGTAAGGCTCATGGACACACCCCTTCATTTCCCGTGACTGGAAGCTGCTGGTGGGCAGGGACCGCCCCGCCCACCTCAGAATCCCTCCCTCCCCCAGCTCAGCGCCATGTAAGCTAGAGGCAGGTGAAGAGGGCCGTGGAATTGGAATTTCGGGTTGCTTATCTCCTCTCAAGTTGTCATAGTGCTTCTTATATTGTGGGTGTCTCTCTGCATTTTTACTTGATCCAATACAACTAGCCAAAATTGCAAGGACATATGATCAGTTAACCATCGTCAGGTGTAACGAAATGAAAATGTCTTCTTGACACCACTGAGAATCCGCTCAGGGTGTGGCTCCTGCCTCACCACGCTGAGCAGTGAGTCTGCGTCAGGAGATGACAATGACAGAGAAAAATGACGACACACCAGGCTGAGTGCTGAGTGTAAGTTCAGGTACACAGCAAGAAAGGGAGCTGGCTGTTCTCAGCAGGCTGACACGTGGGGAGGGCGCACCAGGCGTGGTGGCTGGGGTAGGAGTGTCATCCTCTCTTCGCTGGGTGTTGGAAGGCACTCTGCAGGAGCCTGATTTCAGAGCGTGATTTCAGAAGCGATTTGGTACCATCGACCTTGATGGCTCTGTAGTTCCTGTTGTGTGAAGTTCACACTTTTCATTCTGAGCACCTATTATGTTAACCTGCTCTTTTTTTTTATCCTCACTTGAGGATATTTTACCATTGATTTCCAGATAGAGTAGGGAGGCAGAAGGGAGAGGGAGAGAGAGAGAGAAACATTGATTGGCTGCCTCCCGCATGACCCTGCCCAGGGCTGGGGATCGAACTGCAACTAAGGCATGTGCCCTTGACCGGAATCAAACCCAAGACTCTTTGGTTCTCGGGCTGATGCTCTAACTGCTGAGCCAAACTGGCCAGGGTTTAACCTGTTCATTAATATCCTATTAACCTTAGCTTCTGCAGCTCTTCATCATGAACCCGTTGCTCAGGTTCTCATCTGTGAAGTAGGTTTTTGGCTTTCTTCTCCTGGCGCCACCGGACTGGTGGGAGGACCAAGTAGGGGGCAGGATGTCCAAAACTGCACGCCCCAGTGCCCTGACCACAGGAGGTGCACCATTTATGAATACCCCCTCAGAAGCTAGTGTCCCTTTCCACCTTAATCCAAATCTTCTCCTTCAGGCCTTCGTTTAAGACATTCATTCACTTATTCATAGGTGAATTGGTTTTTGATTCATTTACCAACACATCGAACAGGTTTAGTTTATGCATGTCTGGCACTGTGCCAGGCAGTCTCCCCACAAGAGAGGGAAACCCACACTCATCAAAACAGACCAGTCCGAGACTGTTGTGTGATTGGTACAGAGAAATCCTTTGCAAGCTCAAAAAAAAAGGAGGCATCACTTTTATTGGGTCCAGACAGGCGTCACGAATAAGTTGGGTGTCTGGTTGGATCAAGACCCTGGGGGAGGTGGAGAAGACGCTGGTTCTGTTCTGAGCAGAGGTGGGCAGTGTGAGGCATGTCTAGGAGCAAGGAGGAGGCCAGTGTGGCGGGGGTCAGCGACACAGACTAGGGAGGACCAGGCTCAAGAAGTCCCAGCAGCTGGAGAAGCCCCTCAAGGCTGAGCGTGGGCAGCCTTGGGACAGGCCATAAGCAGATTGGTGCTTTTGGAAGATCACCCTGGTGGCAAATGGAGGAGAAGGCGGGTGGCAGAGAGTTGGGTCAGAGGCTAGGAGTCAGGCAAGAGAGAGCATTTTCCCATCTGTTTTGAGTGTATATTATTTATTTAGCATGCATGAAACAACAGCGGTGTCACTCTCTTGCAGATCTGAACATAAAGTCTGGTCTCCTCTAGTGACAGAGGAAGGGAAACGTCATCCGTACAAGATGAATTTAGCCTCTGAGCCACAAGTAAGTACTCGCACGCTTACTACCCAGCCTCTTCCCTGCTTTGGACACGCCTCGGCACACTCCCGTTTCTGCCTGCCCTGGTGGCCCGGAGGTCAGGCAGCAGGGAGAGCCCTTGGTGCTGGGTCCTGGCGCTTGTTCAGCTCTTCCCGTAAGGGAACTGCGGGAGGAAAGGGCTGGAAAACCCCCAGGCTGTGACACCGGGGGCTGGGCTGGAAGCTGGGGGTGGGAAGGCAATCCGGGAAGCCGGCAGAAGCCTTCCTGTGCGGAATGGGGTGGTGGGACCATGTAAAATAAAGGAGCTGACTGGCTCAGCTCATGCAGACTTCAGAGAAAAATCAGTTGTACCAGGGATGAAATAAGTTCGAGTCTCCGGGCCTGGAAGCTAGAGGCACTAAGGGGAAGTTTAATAGTAAACGCTGCTTCTCTTCCTGGTTTCCCACCGTCTGGTTTCCTTGGTCCTTAGGGTGGAAGTCTCAATTTTTGTTATAGTGAGACTTTGAGATGACCAAAATGAAGTGGTAATTCACTTTGAAAAATGTGGTAGGGAGTCAATGCTCAATCTCAATTTCTTGGGAGAGTAGACTGTCCCAGGATCCCATATTTGTACATAAGTCTCTCAGTACTTAGAGTATAGGTGATTTTCTTTCTTTCTTTCTTAATTGCATCTTCTAAATAATCTACATTGAATGGGCATTCTTTTGTAAGTAAAGGGGAAAAACTTCAAGAAGAAAGTTTAGACATCTTTGGAAAATTCCATACACCAGACATACTACTTTTTACAAAGTTTGTGTCTATTGGATAAGTTAATTATTAATGATAAGTTCATAAGTAAATTGACACTGGCTTTTAAAAGCTTCTTTCAGATTAGTTTATAGTTGTTACCGATTTAATCCCAATTGAAGATTTTAGCTTTAATTTTTTTCCAAATTTGGGACACTGGTTTTTATGGTGAATTGAGATATAATCTAAAGATAACATACCTAGCCATCTTTATACATAAAACAGGAAGTTGTATGAACTTGAACTCACTGGGTGCATTGGCATGGGTACATTGAGTGGTTGTATGTAAGCGATATTTTCTCAAAAGGCTTCCATTAAAATGTCAGAAATCTAAGTTACAAAATTATTTTCCATTAATATAATAAAAATCATACTGAAGAATCCTCAGAGTCACATTAAGGATCACTTTACATCTAACATTTCAAAACGGACACGAACCTGTTACCCTATGCGGCCCCTGTTATGAAAGTTCCTAAGACGGGGCTCAGGCTATGAGCTGGGCGTCGGCAGACGGCGCAGCTCGCCCCGGGCGCTCCAGCCACTGTAAACCTCCTGTAAATGTTATGTTTTAATGTGTTACATTCTCATCTATTTTATAATACATAAGGAGTGGTTTTATTTTAATTTGATCTATCTAAAATCCTAGTTTTCACTTAAGGTAATACTTAGATTTTAGTTATATTTTTATATGTACTATACTTGAATTTTCATCTTAAACTTATAATCTGGTTACCTGCATTACATTTTTTTTTTTTGGTTAATCCTCACCTGAAAATATTTCTCCATTGATTTTTAGAGAGAGTGGAATGGAGGAAGGGAGGGGGAGAGAGAGAAAGAGAGGGACTTAGACATTAATGCGAGAGAGACACATTGATTGGTTGCCTCCCACACAACCCCGACAAGGGCTGGTGATCGAACCTGCAACCCAGGTACATGCCCTTAGCCGGGAATCAAACCCATGACCCTTTGGTCCATGGGCTGATGCTCTAACTGCTGAGCTTAACTGGCCAGGGCTGTATTACTTTTTCTTTTTTAATTTTTTATTTATAGATTTTGGAGAGAGAGAGAGAGACATCGATTTGTTGTCTCACCCGTCCATGCACTCATTGGTTGCTGCTTATGTGTTCCCTGACTGGGGATCCATCCCACAGCCTTGGGGTATCGGGATGATGCTCTAACCAACTGATCTAACTGGTAAGGGCTCTATTAACATTTTGAAGGTAGTTCTCATCAGATTTTAAAAGTTCTCAAATACTGTAGGTTTTAACTTGAGTACATTTTTCTTTTGATTCCGGTAATTCTTTGTTCATGTGAAAAATGTCCTGCCTCTCGTTTTTTTCAGCCTCCACTTCCAGTCATTCTAAGATAGAGGAGTGAGTAGGAGCAGAGCGGGGTTGTAATTAAAAGATCTGCCAGCTCATGAAACGCCAGCCAACACCCCAGCTTATCTGAGGTCAGAGCAGTCACACACCTAGTTTATATTTCCTCATTATTGTGTTTCCTAGGCGACTGATAAATACAAAGTGCAAACAATTACATCATCCCTTCCCAAAGGCAGGCCCTGAATTGACCGCCTGATTTCAGTATTCACATGGGGTTGCAGATATTTCTTTTATGTGCAAAACAGAATTTCCAACCTGAATTTTCTACCGACATCCATTCTTTTTTCTTTTTTCCTATATGTTTTTGTTGATTTGAGAGAGAGGGGAAGAAAGAGGAAGAGAGAGAAACATCAGTGTGAGAGAGAAAGATCCATCGGTTGCCTCCTGTATGCACCCAGACCGGCGATCAAACACACAATCCCAGGCGTGTGTCCTGACCAGGAATCAAACTGGCAACCTTTTGGTGCACAGGACAACACTCAGCCAACTGAGCCACACCAGCGAGGGCTTGACTTCCGTTCTAATGGAAAATGTATTTCTGTGGAGGGAGAAGGGGACAGACAGTGGTTGAATGTCTCTGTGTGCCAGGCACTGTGCTTGGCACACTAATATTTTACACCGAGTCCTTGTGAAAGCCTTTATTTATTTCATTTTAAAGATGAGAAATGGGCCCTGGCCGGTTTGGCTCAGCGGTTAGAGCGTCGGCCTGCGGTCCAGGGAGACGTGGGTTCTGTTCCCGCTAGGGGCACGAACCTCAGTTGCAGTTTGTCCCTGGCCCTGGTTGGGCCCTGCGGGAGGCGGCCACTCGATATGTCCCTTTCACATTGATGTTTCTCTCTCTTTCTTTCTCTCTCTCCTTCCCACTGTATCTGAACAAAAAATGGAAAAATGTCCTCGGGTGAGGATAAAAAAAAAAAGACGAGAAATGGGCTAAGAGAGAGGTATAACTTGCCCACAGCTGAACAGGAAGCGACAGGGGAAAATGAGCCAAGATAGAAAATTAAGGGCTGAGCCTGGTGCCGAGCATCCCGAGCTGCTGTGGGAGCTGCTGTGGGGAAGGAGAGGAGGGAGGCGCTGCACCCCGGCTGCAGCTGAGTGCGGCACGCACGCCGGCCAGGGCCCAGGCCGCCATCTGCTAGTCTGCTGCTGTTAATGACTACGTAGTATTTCTTGGATTAGTAGTGCCATAAAATTTACTTAACCATTCTTTGATTAGTGCTAATGTTATTTTCTTAACTAATTATACGTACTTCCCCTTTTGTGAACCATCTGTGTGTACTTAGCTTTGGTCTACTGTGGACGAAATCAGCTCAAGGTTATGTATACAGTACGGCCTCACTGACTCTGACTTGTGGAAAAGAATGCCCATCTGAATAGTGGAAAAGAATATTTCCGTGTTGTCTTTTATTTTAAGTCAGTACCCAGTAAGTTCTAAGAAAGTGTGACAGACTTAGCCAACAGAGGGGAAAAAGAAAAAGGAAGAGCAACAGAAGACAGAAACTCTTTGGGGGGTAGTTGCTCTCGGCCTGGGTGTTAAGAAAGAGACCAGGGTTCAGGAAGATTTCTGGGGAACCCAGAAAATATGGCACAGGTTGAGGTTAGTCATCTGTAAGGAGGGTTCTGTTGCCTGGGAACCAGCATGACCCAGACCTGGGTAGAAAGCCCCTTACTAATTGAGTCATCAGAAAAGCCATGATTTTTTTTTTCCTTATCACTCAAGGATATTTTTCCTTTGATTTTTAGATAGAGTGGAAGGGAGGGAAGGAGAGGCAGAGAGAAACATTGATATGAGAGAAACACATCGATTGGTTGTTCCCGCATAAGGGCTGGGGAATGAACTGCAACTGAGGTACATGCCCTTGACCGGAATTGAACCCGAGACTCTTTGGTCTGGGGGCCAACGCTCTAACCGCTGAGCCAAACCTACCAGGGCAGCTGTGATGATTTTTTTTTTTTTAATGTTGGTTTTGAAAGGTTTGGCTGTGCTCTGGCTGGGTGGCTCAGTTAGTTGGATGTTGTCTCATACACCAAAAGGTTGTGGGTTCTATCCCCACTTGGCAACCAATCGACGTTTCTCTCTCACATCAGTGATTCTCTCTCCCTTCCTCTGTCTCTAAAATCAATAAAAGCATCTCAGCTGAGGATTTAAAAAAAAGAACTTTGAAATGTAAATAAGTAAGTAGATGAATAAGTAAAGGTTTGGCTGTTTGAAAAAGCTCTGAGGTGTTGCAGCTGTCTAGTTATCCACAACTGGCCAGCCCCCGTGGGGGTGGAGGGCGTTCTCACAGGACCGAGGGGGTGAGCACAGAAGGGTCTGGAAGGCCTCTCCTGGGCACCGCCCCTGCAGCAGGTGCCCACTAGCCTTCCTCCGATTAGCCCTGTCCTCCTGCAGGAAACCACAGGTGCTGAAGTCCCCGCCCACTTCTTCCGGAGCACGGCTCTGCCCAATCAGAGCGGCGTCACCCAGTGTCCAGACGGCCCTTTTATCTTGTTTGTCTAACTCGCTCTGTCCTGGGGACTTGATCTCCACCTTTCATCGTCTCTTGCTTTGCCCCGACCACAAAGTGACTGCCTGTTCTTCTCTTCCTGCTACGGTAGCCCCCCCAGAATGTGCCTGAAAAGGTGTTTCAGCTCCAGGGCATCAAGGAAGGGCTTGCCCAGGGCTCCCCAGCAGGAGAGGAGCTTCGCTGGGCCTCAGGGAAGAACCAGAGGCAGAGCTGGCGCGTGGACCTGCACATGTGCCCTGCTCGTGGGAACCCCCACTGCCGTCTGTGTCCAGTGGATACGCCGGAGCCCTCAGTGAAGCTTGGTGTTGTGCCAGGGCCGTTGGAGCTCACTGAACCATCCCTGCACGTGGCCTGCACGGTCCATGGAGAGGGGTATGCTGGACCCCGCCCTCATTTCTCCTCTGATCTCTGCCTACAGGAGGTCCTGCACATAGGAAGCGCCCACAACCGGAGTGCCATGCCCTTCACTGCCTCGCCGGCCTCCGGCTCTGCCCCCAGGGTCATCACAAACCAGTACAACAACCCCTCCGGCCTCTACTCCTCTGAAAACATCTCCAACTTCAACAGCGCCTTGGAGTCCAAGACGGCAGCCAGTGGACCAGAGACAAACGGCAGAGCGTAAGTGCGCTGAAGTGTCCTCTAAGCCAGGTCCAGGCGCGCAGGCAGGAGGGAGAAGCTTGAGCCACCGGCCCAGGGAGGAAAAGGTCTACAGTACTTTCTGCCTTCGTTTTCCTCATCTCTGAAAGGAAGTGATACCACCTGCCTTGTAGGGTTGTCGTAAAAATAAGTAACCTGTGAAATTCCCAGTACTGTGTCGGGCACAGAGTAATCAGTTATTCGGTGAGACCTATGTTATTACTGTCTTGATATTTCTGGTCCACACTCCTTGCTTGACATTCCGATGCTTCCCATGAAACTCTTCAGTATTTACAGTTTGGGGTTTCTGCTGTATTCACCCTCTGAGCCAAGCAAGGGAAAGGGGCTTTGTGATGCGATTTTGGGGATGCTTTTTCCCTGAGTGGCCAGTAGAAATAGTAGAAAGAAGTCCATGAGGATATAAACACGTGTCTCTGCAAACAGGTTCTGACCTGGGACACAGGCAGAGGCAGGTTTGCCCAGGACGGGGGTGGGGCTGCAGCGGGCAGTGTGGAGAAGTCCGAGGGACCGTCTTGCTCAGAACTGGAGAGGTTTCTTCCCTCCTGTCACTGACCGTTTGGCCACAGCTGCCTCTATGTCTTGACTCTGGCCACAGCTGCCTCTATGTCTTGACTCGGCAGAGGAGCCCAGTGTTTGCTCCATCCAAAACTCTTTGAAGATAAATTCAAGCACTAGGAATACCACAGATCGTGCCAAAGAGCTGGGTTTGAGGATGGAGAGTAAGAGATGGGACCAATTTTCTGTGGGCGAAGGGGTGGGGGATGGACTACTCGACCAGTTGCCCTGTCAAATACCCAACGGTGGCAGAGATGCTAAGGGCACGAGGGCAGAGCTCGGAGTGCGGGCAGGGAGCAGGATGGCCCGTGGCAGCTGGCCAGTGCATACCCATCTGGAATGGGGACCACGCCTTGGCTCCAGCCAGACCCCACATGCTGGCCTAGGAGTCCCATTTCTGCTGATTAATTGTGTTGAAACAGAAGTCTGAATGCTTCTTTTTATCTGAAATGTCCTGATCTTTAATGTTGGTGACAGTCCAGTTTGTTGGAAAATACTGTGTGGTCCAAACTTGTCTGATCTCGGAGGAGCGAATGGAATCTGGGTTAGCGCGGAAGCCCATTTTGCTGCTGTTTCTCCCCAGTTCACCTTTAAGAAGAATCTGCCCAGCACTTAGGGTGAAGAAATTGCAAATCCGTTGCTTCCAGGGCAGGGTAGGAGAGGTTAAGGCGTGAGAGGTTCCAGACATAGTTCCCCTTTTCCTAAGAGCCAGCTGTTATTGGCAACCACCGCACGCAGGTCCCTGTGCCCAGCCCTGAAAGGCAGTGTGATTTCTTAGAGTCCAGTAGGGGATGCTTCGCTGTGGGACTTTGGCCATACAAGCCGTTCCTGCATTCGTTGGGGTGACCAAGGCATTAGTAAATGCTTCTCCCCCCAAATTCTGATTCCTGCAGAGCCTTACTGGCTTGAGATGTTGATGTCCTTCAAGGTGACAGAGCATGTGGGGTTCCCGAGACAGCAGATGCTGGGCCACCCAAGCTTTCCACGGGTGCACACTGACCTTCTTTCCAGCAGCTCAGGGCGGAGCTGAGTGGTGGGAACACCATGGGCCATGATCCCTGTTCTCTGCTGCTTTGGTGCTGGGGAGGCTGAGAATGTGACCCTCTGTTACTGTCCCCAAGTGGAATGTTCTGTCCTCTGAATTTAATAACCCAGGAAATGACACATTTGTAATTGAAAGAGCTGCTACGCATTGGGAGAAATATGTGCCTGGGAGGTATTTTTAGTATGGCCTTGGCCGTGAGTCCTTCATTAATGTCTTCTTTCTTCTCTCAGGCTCCCTGCCTGCTCCCTTCCCTTAATCTGAAACAGTTAAATCTGAGACTGTTGGGACACTGTGCAATCCTTTCTTCCAGCCCCTGTCCCCACCTGTCGCAGACTTTTTGGTTAGAGTGGTCTCTGAGTTTTTATCCAAAGTCTCCTTCCAGATTTTCTAAGCAGGGGGACCCAGGTTCTGCTCCATCCCACACTCTGAGGGGGAATCCAGAAACGGTGGGAATATACCAGGAGCCCACGGCCGAGAAGCTGCCTGGAGGGGCCGTGCTGCCTGTGTGGGGGTCTCTGCTTACTGGTCTGTCGCTGGAGTCGCCCCTGTGCACCCTCAGCAAAGGAAGATTCTCCTGCAAACCCAGCAGCCACTCAGTAACCTTACTTTCTCCCTCTGCAGAAGCCCCAGGCGCTAGCTCACCCCCGCTGTTTAGTCTGTGAAATCCCCTGAGGATCCAGAATTGGCTCACTTCATACTTTGCATCTGAGGTCATCACTGATTCCTTGGGGCTGACTCTGAGTTTCTTTGTTCAAAGCTGCCTGGTGTGTGTGTGTGTGTGTGTGTGTGTGTGTGGCGGTCTGTCTTGTAGGACTTCCCTGGGCCATGTCCCCATCGGACAAGAACACAGACAGCATTGTCATCGCCTGATTTAACTGGGAAGGGAGGCGAGAGGGGGTTATCCCTGCCTGGCCGTCCAGCACGCACCCAGCTGAGAGGGGGGCCTGTGGATCCGTTCAGTTTAATGGTCATTTATTGAGTTCCGCCCGTGCACCTGGGTGCAGGAAGTGTCTCTGTTCAGCATTAAGCTTTCACCTGCCCTTTGACCTCTTTCAACTGAGTTTAGGGGCTCTTGGATCATTTCTGGTGATTTGGGGCCTAGATTTCATTATCTGTGGGATGATGCTCGATTTTTTCCTATAGGTACAGGCTTCGTAGACAGCGGGGCCTGAGCTTGAATTCTCACTCTGCCTCTTACCAGGTGTGTGTTGTGGGCAAACCAGAAAACTTCTCTGAGACTCTGTCCTCTTGTCATGAGGTGCAGATAATGCTAATAACCACCTCCCACCAGTTACTGAGAGGACGAGGCGAGATGGTGCCTGGCCCCCGGCAGGTGCTGTTATTACTGATTTCACTGCCCATGAGGAACTCCACACCCATCACTTCTGAGTACCAGGGGCTTCCCCCAGAAGAGCAGAAGCGTGTAGACAGGTGCCATGGGGAGCATTTTGCTGTGACTTACAGTAAAATTCTCGCCCAGCCTTGTAGCTTAAGTTCAGTCAGCCAGTGCCCTTAGTCACCTTCTTGCGGAGCAGTGGCCTCTCCGTGGAGTGACCGCTTGGGCTCCCGTAACCAACACCACCGTCCCAGGATACTAGTTCCACATTGTGTTTTCAAGCAACGCCCCATGTGCTGCGGAGGAGATTTCTAAGCAGGTGCAGTAGGAATAACGAGAAGCATTGTTCTGCTCAAATGATGGGGATTGTGCTAAACCCGGCTCATTCGGGGCTGGATCAGAAAACCTCTGTCACGAGGTGGCTGTTGGCCCTCCAGCTAAACTTGCCCACAGCCACAGAGGACTGGCTCTGGAGTCCGGGTGCTGCTCCTCCCGGTGCCCATAATTCTCCTCTGCTTTCTTATTACAGGCCCAGCAGCGGGCCTTGGGAAACTAAGACGTAGGGAGCGTTCTGGCCAGGCTCCCTTTCTAAACATGGTTATGTAGGGTTACCCAGAATTGCATTTTTTGGTGAACACTGGATAACCAGGCTGGGGCATCTCAGACACGAAGGGTTGGTCTCAGTCACGCACCCCCTCTACCTGCACCTGTGTGAATGTCAGGTACTGAAACCTCTACGTCATTTCCAGTTAGCACGTAACCTCCATCATTTGGGGAAAGGATTCTCAAAATTAATTGAACTTTTTGAGGTATTCGTAGGTTCACATGCAGTTACAGGAAATAGTACAGAGTTCTTCTCTATGCCCTTCACCCAGTTTCCCTCTGCGGTAACATCTTGAAACTACAGCACAACATCAAGTCTAGACTATGGACATGAACATGGTCAAGACACAGAACGTGTCCGCCTCCACGGGTTCCTCGGGTTGCCCTTTTTTTATCCTCACCCAAGGACATTTTTCCATTTTTTGTTCAGATAGAGCGGGAGGGAGAGAGAGGAAGAGAGAGAGAGAGAAACATTGATGTGAAGGGACACATCGAGTGGCTGCCACCCGCACGACCAGGGCCGGGGACAAACCGCACCCGAGGTACATGCCCTTAGCGGGAACCGAACCCGGGTCTCTCTGTACCGCAGCCCGACGCTCCAACCGCTGAGCCAAACTGGCCAGGGCTCGGGTTGCCCTTTTATAGCCACACTCACTTCCCTCCTATCCCTGCACCCCTCCAACCCTGGCAGCCCACTAATCTGCTCCCTGCTTCTATAATTTTGTTATCTCAATAATGTCATATTGATGCAATCATATAATATCTAACTTTCAGGGAATTGGTTTTTTTTTTTTACTCAGCATAATTCACTGGAGATTTATTTGATTTACTGAGATTTCTTTTTAAGTATCTGAATAGTTCCTTTTTTCTGTTCTAAGGATTCACCTTTTTTTTATTGTGGTAAAAACACATAGCATAAAATATATCATCTTAATCATTTAAAAAACATTTTTTTTCTTTTTGTTTTGTTTTTTATCCTCACCTGAGAACATTTTTTTTGGCATTTATCTTCAGATAGAGTGGGAGGGAGAGGACGAGGAAGAGAGAGAGAGAGAAACATCGATGTGAGAGAGACACATCAACCCCACACAACCCCAGCCAGGGCCGGGGACAAACTGCAACTGAGGTACGTGCCCTTAGCGGGAACTGAATCCAGGTCTCTTTGGTCCGTGGGCCGACGCTCTAACTGCTGAACCAAATAGGCCAGGGCTAAAAATAATTTTTTCTTAATTGATTTTGGAGGGAGAGAGAGATAGAAACATCGATGAGAGAGAACATCAATTGACCACCTCCCGCATGCCTCCCACCAGGGATCAGGCCCACAACCTGGGCATGTGCCCTGACCGGGAATCGAACCAGCAACCTCTTGGTGCATGGGTCGATGCTCACCTGCTGAGCCACACACACCGGCTGGGCTCATCTTAATCATTTTTAAGTGTACAGTACAGTGGTGGTAATGATAAGCACATTGCTGTGTGACAGATCTCTGGAACTTTTTCATCTTACAAAACCAGAACTCTCTCTGTACCCATTGAGTAACTCTCCCTTCCCGCCTTCCCCCAGCCCCTGGCAACCACTGTTCTACTTCCTAAGAGTGACTACTTTAGCTCTCACCTCGTATAAGTAGACACTCCAATTGCTGAGCCAAACCGGCCAGGGTTTTAATCCATTTTAACTGCTTTTTATATGTAGTGAGATAAAGGTTTAGTTTCATTCTTTTGCATGCAGATATCCAGTTGTTTCAGCACCATTTGTTGAAGAGATCTTCTGTTTGTGTTCTTTATTCTTGGAACCCTTAATGAATATCATTTGACCAAATATGTCAGGGTTTATTTCTGGGCTGTATATTCTGTTGCATTTGGTCTGTGTGTCTTTATGCGAGAACCATACTGTTTTGATTGCCGTAGCTTTGTAATAGGCATTGACATCAGAGAGTATGATGTCTCCAGTTGTTGTTTTTTTTTTTTTCAAGATTGTTTTGGCTGTGTGGGACCCTTTGAGATTCCATATAAATTTTAGGATTTCTTTTTCTATTTCTGAAAAAAAAAATGTTTTTGGTATTTTGATAGGGATTGCATCGAATCTAGATTTCTTTGGGTAGTATGGACAGTTTAACAGTATTAATTTTTCCAATTCGTGAACATGGATGGATGTCTTTCTGTTTACTTGTTTCTTTGCTGTGCTGATCCAGCTCTCAGACCATGGGTGTGCTGTTCTCTGTCCTCCTTGACATTCTGACCTCCACCCCAGCTGCTCCTTTGGCTGGCACAGGCCTGTGTCACAGCAGGTCGCAGGCTCAAGGGGAGTTTCTTCTTACCGTCTGAAGACCCCCGGCATCCTTAAATGCTTGGCTGTGTCCACCACCTCCACGGGCTGGGAGTGGCCTGTCTGTGCTATCCCCGGGGAGACGGGCCCTGTGTCAGGGCCTAAAAGAGTAGGAGAAAATAGTAAACATTTAGGTAACTGGCGTGCATTCTGCACCAAGTGTGACTCAGGAAGAAACAAGAGCTAGGAACGCAAAGAGTGCAATGTCTAGTCACGCCAAAGGAGTGGACTAGGTCACACTCTTGTGTTCTGTTGCTACAGTGGTGAAGACTGGATTTAGAAGCATGTGGGGACTCTTAGCACGCACCCGCACAAGCTGTCCTGGAGACTCCGTCATGTGTATTATAGTCTTTGAAACCTTATCTATATTTCCTTCATTGCTGTTACTATATATAGAAATGACAGTGGTTTTTTTTTCTTTTTTTGCTCCATTTCTAATGCGTATTTTTATCCTAGAATTAATTTTTAAGATATTGTGGTGTCATTTACTAATATCTTACAGTCTAAGACTTAGACTTTGTGTGTTAGGATATTATTTCTGAATGAGGTGTATGTCAATGCTTTGAATAATGTGATAGATAGATGTTGGAAATGCTTTATAAATTGTCAAACGGTAGAAAGAGAGTACCGTTGTTTGAGGAAAATTGTAAACTGTTTTTCTTTTTTAAATCATGGAAATACTTTGGTGGAAGAATCCTTGAGGACCTTGCGGTTTGGGTTCCGTCATTAGTGTTCCCTTGGTGGCTTCCAGACGTAACAGCAGACACCAGAGAGGGGGGACGGCTCCCTAAGCACATTCCATGGTCTGCTCTGGATTTTAAAATAGTTCTGCGTGTAACAGGAAAAAGATTCATCCAAAATAATGCCGTACATTTATTTTGGGGCAAGCGTCGAACTCAAGACCCAAAGAAAGACGGAGGCATGTAACAAACAACGGGCGGAGTGGTGGGCTGAAGGACTAGGCTCTTGGTTAACACGACTCTCTCCAGGTGGCCATCGCCTGCCAGGGAGGCCCCCACAGTCCCCTGCGTGTGGGAGGGACGGAAGGAGGCAGGGACCAGCGCAGTCAGCACAAGTGACCAGCTGATGAGTCAGTGTTCTTAAATGTTGACCTTCCCTGGCAGCAGTGAAGCAGATGTCACCCCTCAAGGGCTTCTCCTCTGTTGTGAGAACCTGATCGCGGTCAAAGGGAAAACGTGCAGCTCCGATGATGCAAGTAATGCAGCTTCCTGTGGACTTGAGTGTGTCATGTGCCCTAGGAGGGTCACCGGGAGGGAGAGGGAGAGGGAGAGGGACCTCGGGGAGAATTACCCAGGGAAAACATATACCTCAGTTTTCTTTTTAAAATGGAATGTGAAATAACTATGCCGTGGGTGGGAATTGAGGGAGTAAAACACAGTCAGTGTCATTGGTTTGCATGTGTAACTGGTGGGTACGAAGGTACTGCCTGTGTCCTTACGGCCCAGGAGCAGCCTCGTGGGCTGGGTGGCAGGTGGCTTGTCACTCACAAAGAACAGCTTGTTTACACACACGCCTGCCTGTCTGCATGGATAGATTGTACCCCCTTCTGATATTTGCTCTTTGGCTCCCTGGGTACACTGTCCCTCTTTGCTAGGGGGTGATGGCTTCTGAAAAAGCACTTGAGGCTGAGAGGCAGGAGGTGATCTGGGCTCAGGAGCTGAGCTACCCATCTCCCCGGCAGAGCCCTGGGAGGTCGCACTGCCCTAGAGGATCCCCTGTGACCCCGCAGGAGCAGGGAGAGGGCGCAGCAAGGGGGAGAGAGGGACTTGGACCCATGTGGCAGTTTTCACTCACTTCCCTAATTCCTGCTGAGCCCCGACGCTGTGCCAGGCGCTGATCCAGGGCTGGGGACTCAATGGTGAACAGACAGACCGAGGCCCTGGCCTCCTGGGGTTAGTTTCTAGGGGGAGACAGGAGGAATCAGGAGAAAAGTGCAGGAGAGTGAGGGGTAGAGGGACGGGGTGGGGAGGGTCAGGGAGCCCTCTCTGAAGAGGACATCTGAGCAGAGATGAATGACGGGTGGGAGCCGAGGGAGCAGCAGGTGCACAGGCTCTGAGGCTGCTGGGTTGCAGAGCAGTTTGGAGCCGGCTGAGCCAGCGTGGCCGGCGGTGTGTTTACAGAGGAAAACAGCCACGTCTTTTAGGGCCTTTCTCCTTTGTAATGAACATTTCGTCCAAAGGACATGGATTTGATTACATTTGTATTTTGTTATCAACACTGTAAATATTGGTTGTAAGTTGGATGAGGACACTGAGCCACATCTTGACAGCGTGTTTAAAATACCACTGTGGCCTCTGGTCGAACACAAGCCGAGGGACACGTTGCAGAGCGGGTCAGCGGTGCTGCTACGCAGTGGCGTGGCGGTGGCATGGCCATGGCATGGTGGTGTCATGGACCCGCGGTGGGGGCGGGTGCTGTGAAGACCTGGGATTCAGGACAACCGGCAGGTGGGGGACTGGGGGTCTCACCACTCCTTCCCGAGCAGGCCGCAGAGGTCCCTCCCTGCAGAATAGGCTCTGGGGGAAAGAGCCCCAGCTCTGCCTGTCTCACCCGGTCTGGGGAACCCAGAACGACGGGGAAGGTGTGGGAGGCAAGGCCAGGCTTGCTCAGTCACTGGGCCTGAGCCGAGGCCTCTGCCCCTCCCTTGCAGTGGAACAGAACTCTACGGTATTCCAAAGCACTTGCATTTCGTTGTTAATCCTCACCGGAGGGAGGGAAGGAGAGAGAGAAACATGATGTGAGAGAGACACATTGGTGAGCCCTTGGGCCGCTGCTCCCCCTGCTGAGCCAACCCGGCCAGGGCAGCACTTTCCATTCTCCACCACCCCTGTGAACCGGCAGGACTGGCATGGCGTGGCGTGGCGTGGCGGGGCGAGGCGTGGCGGGGCGAGGCGTGGCGAGGCGAGGAGGCCAGAGCTCCTTGCTGAGGGTTATGAGAGTTTACAGAGGCAGCAGGCACTCTGATCGCCTGGGGAATGAAAGGAACACACATGCCTGGACTGAGGGGACCCCGCTGAGCTTTTAGTGGTCAGGTTGTGGTTGACATTTTCCCGTTTCTAAGTTTTCTTTTGGCATAATGTTGTTTGTGTAATTTAGAAAGGAGCAAAGCATTCCCATTCCATGGGATTGGGCCAAAAAGCAATTGAGTGACTAAAACTATTTTGAAAAATTGCTTCTGGCTGCAGTGAAGAAGCAGCCAGCTCGGGCTCCAGGCACCGGGCAGTATTAAGGAGGGCTGTTTCCCTGGCCAATTTGGCTCCGCGGTTAGAGCGGTCGGCCTGCGGACCATTGAGACCCGGGTTCGATTCCGACCAAGGGCATGCACCTCGGTTGCCGTTTGTCCCCGGCCCTGGTCAGGGTCGTGCGGGAGGTAACCAGTCGATGTGTCTCTCTCGGTCTCTCTCTCCCCCTTTCTCCCTCCCTCCTACTCTGTCTAAAGATAAATGAAAAACTGTCCTCAGGTGAGGATAAAAAAAGGAGGGTGGTGTCGTCCACCCCTCGGTTCCAGGTGTCTTCCCTTGGGAGGGGTACCTGCTGAGTGCTTTGTTTTGTTTGGGTTTGTTTTAACTTCTGACCCGTCTTAATGAATTTCCAAACATTCTTTACAGCTTAGAGCACTCTCAGTCTCCAAGTGGACTCGTCATTGACAAAGAATCTGAAGTTTACAAGATGCTTCAGGAGAAGCAGGAGTTAAACGAGCCCCCGAAGCAGTCCACTTCATTCCTGGTTTTGCAGGAAATCCTGGAATCTGAGGAGAAAGGTAATGAGCTCTGTGGTGGGCAGAGGCTCTTGCTTGAGGCCCCGGGTGAGGGCCAGTCATTGTCGAAACAGGTGACCGCAGGGTGCTGGCTGGGAGGGGCACTGCGTGTTTGGGAAGGTGTGGCTTTTAAAACGCTAAAAGCTGGGGGTGGGGGGGATGGATGAATGCATGAATGAGCGAGCTCCCAGCACACTGGCCCAGCTGAGGTCATGTGAGCTTGACTGTTGTGGGATTCTGTTGGGCTGTCCCTTGACCTTTAGTTTGGTTTGCGCCACATGCCACGCTTCTGGGGTGTGAGTGGGTGGAAACCACGGATGATGACCAGCACAGTGAAAGGGAATCAGCACGGTGGCGCCAGGGACTGCGCTTTCACGTCAGGGCCACGGTCTCGCTCTTGGGTGGTCGGCCTCCAGAGAGCCACATCCTCCTCTCGTGGCCTTCGGCATCTCTGAGCCTTTCCAGGCCTGTTTTCTCATCTCTCAATTGGGAATCAAAATCCTTCCCTCTCAGATTGGTTGTGAGGATCCAGTGTTATAAATGGCATCAAACACCCATCACCGTGACCAGCACGTAGTAGGTGCTTCATAACAAGAATGAGGTTTGAAACTTCGTCAGGAGGCTCCAGGCCGGCCTGCACCTGCCCGGTGTGAACTCATGCCCGAGGCACCCAGGGCCACCTGTGTGCCTCTGCAGGTCTTGGGAGATAGTCTTCGATTGTACACATCATCTGCTGTGCATTTATTACGGTGATTTTCAAGTGGTTAGCAGTAAAACTACCTTAATTGAACACCGACCGTATATTGTGAGAAATTGCTAACGATGGGTGTGTGGAGGAAGGGAGGCTTTGTTCCATTCTCACAAAGGCGACCTGTGAGCAGCAGCCCTCAGGCTCACCCACCTCCCAGGCGGTGGCTCCGTAAGTGCCTTTGGGTTCTCAGGATGCGCCTAGCTAGGAATGCCTCTTCTCCAGAGTTGTTGAGCGCCCCTTGCTGATCTCTGGTGCTCAGCCTGCACACACTGCCTTGTCCCTTTCTCTGAGGCACAGGCCCCTCACAGGAGTCCTGCTTTCTACCCCCACTCCTCCTCTCTCCAGGGTGCCTGCCTGTGAAGAGGTTGTCGGTGCTCCTGCTATGACCCCTGCTTCAGCCTGGCTCCAGAGGGGTTGACGTGTTTGCTCAGGCAGCCGGTGAGGGTCAGGGCTGAGTGTCCCCTGGAAGAGTAGCCCGCCTCCTTCTGGGCTGAAAGTTCCCTACTAAACACCCCCAACACCCAGGCTTCCTCCCCGTTTGGGTGGGTTCTTTTGGGAAATGGACAGTTTGCAAGCACAGGAAGTTAGGAGAGCTCCTCTTTTATGCGAAAAGGATATTGTTGTAGTGGTTCCCTCTTGGATTGGAGTACCTGTGCAGCTGGGGAGTCATGCGCCTTCTCAGAATTAAGTTCCCTTATCAAGCCCCCATGACCAGTGACTTGGGGGCCAGCCCTAGAGGGTGACAGTTTTGTCAAAACATGTGAGAAACCACAGCTTACTCTGAGTAAGGGAAGACCCTTCAATTAAGAGAGGAAAAGTCAGTCCATTCCAGTTCAAACTAGGACCTTGACAGATACTGCAGGGCTAGTCGAATGCCCTCATGTCAGGATCACTGGACTCCAAGATCTGGACCCCTTCCATCCCGTGTTCCATCTACCAAGGTGGCTTTTGTTCTCAAGATTATCTCGTGGTCCTAGTTGGCAGCTGGTGCTCCAGCCATTATGCCCACTTCCAGGCACCAGGAAGGAAGAATTGGGGGAAGGGCTAGCTGGGAAGTCCCCCTTCCAGATGAGCCAGCTTTCTCTTTTCTGGAAGTCCCACACTACTATTCCATTTACATTTTGACCAGAATTTGGTCACATGACCATATCTAGTTGCAAAAGAGTCTGAGAAGGATAGTTTTTTTCCCCCCTGGGCTGGATATCTTCTTGCTCCAAAGAAAATAAAAATTTTGCTAAAAAAACAAGAGGGAGATCATGGATCTTATAGTCTCTCTCATATCCCTTAATGCATACTTATATTAATTTTTTTTTTTTTATCCTCACCCGAGGACCCTTTTTCATTTTTTGTTCAGATAGAGCAGGAGGGAGAGAGAGAGAGAGAGAGAAACATCGATGTGAAAGGGACACATCGAGTGGCTGCCACCCGCATGACCAACCAGGGCCGGGGACAAACTGCAACCGAGGTACATGCCCTTAGCGGGAACCGAATCCGGGTCTCTCCGGACCACAGGCTGACGCTCTAACCGCTGAGCCAAACCGGCCAGGGCTGTATTAATTTTTTATGGAGTGAAACAGCGTAAATTCCCATCTAAACGGAACCCCCCACTTGCAGAAGGCACTCGGGGAGCTCAAGTGCCAGGTTTCATTTCAGAGGAAGTAGTCAAGCTAGGGACAGTGTCTTCTATGTCGCAAATGCACAAGGAGGGCTGCTGTCATTTGAGGAGGCATCTGGTTCATCCAGCAGCACTGCATTGCAGAGAGAACCCTGGCACCCAGCATCTGCCCGTCCCTCAGCCCTCGTTTTGCACAGATTTAGTGAGGTTACTAATGGCTGCCTCACAGGTGGTTTAAAGCATTAAGGAAACGGCACATGGGCCAAGTGGCAGGTGCACAGTCAGTGGGGCCTCCGGGTTTGCAGCCAGGTTTGGTGATAACCTCCAAACACTCGATGTGGGTCTTCCCATTCTGGAGGAAACAGTTCAGAGGCATTGAGTACATTCATGTGGTGCTGCAGTCAACCGATTCATCACAGAACTCTTCATCTTGCAAAAGTGAAACTCTGTACCCGTTAAACACTTGAGTCCTCATTGCCCGCTCCCCCAGGCCCTGGACACCACCGTTCTACTGTCTGTTTCCGTGACCGTGACTTCATTCAGGAGCTTCGCCTGAATGGAATCATGTCATTCTGTGACTGGCTTATTTCACAGAATAATGAAATAACGTCTCAAGGTTCATTCATGTTGTAGCATGTGTCAGAAGGTCCTTTCTTTTCTTTCCTTTAAATAGGTTTTTATTTATTTATTTTTTAGAGAGAGAGAGAGAGAGGTAGAAACATTTATGTGAGAGAGAAACATTGATCGGCTCCCACTGGGGATCGAGCCTGCTACCCCAGGCATGTGCCCTGACTGGGAATTGAACCAGGACCTCTTGGTCCATGGGATGATGCTCAATCCACTGAGCCACACTGGCCGGGCAGAAGGTCCTTTCTTTTTAAGGCTGAACAATATGACATGTATATACCACATCTTGTTTATCCACTCATTTGTCCATTGAAGAAGACTTTTTTTTTTTTAATCCTCACCCAAGGATATTTTTCTATTTATCTTCAGACAGAGTGAGAGGGAGGGAGAGAGAGAAAGAAACATTGAGATGAGAGCGACACACCGACTGGTTGCCTCCCACACGACCCCAACCAGGGACAGGGATGAACCACAACCAAAGTGCATGCCCTTGAGTGGAATCACACCCATGACTCTTTGTTCCATGGGCCGATGCTCTAACTGCTGAGCCAAACTGGCCAGGGCTTTTGAAGGAGGCTTTAAACGAGAAGAAACTTGGAAGGAGACATCATGGGCTAAGAACACAGAGGCTCTGGGATGAGAGAGCTGGACTTGCTCATTGTCGAGGCTCATTATGGTTGATGGCAGGGCTCCAGGAGAATCCTTGATGGCCTGGAGTCAGATCGTGGCAGACCACCAGGTGCTAGGTTAAGGACCATGATTCTGTAGACCATGTGGAGCCGTGAAGGTGGTTGAGCAGTGAAGTGGATAGAAAGCTGTGTTTGACTCAACTCATTTTCACTTTTTCTCCAGAAAGCTGTGAGGTACAAGGTTCACTGAAAGAAGAAAAATTTGGAAATTTTTGTAGTTGTCCATTGGTCCTAAGGGAGCTGAGATATATATATATATATGTATATATATATATATATATATATATATATATATATATTTAAAATCTTTATTGTTGAATGTTCCTCATTTTTCCCCCATTGCCCCCCTCCTCCCCACTCTGGTTCCCCTCCCAGCTTTTCCCACACTATTGTCTGTGTCCATTGGTTATGCATATGAGTTCTTTGGTTTATTTCTTACCACCCCCCCAACCCTCTTCCCTTTGAGGTTTGTCAGTCTAGCAATGAATTTGTACTTCTTAATCCCTTCACCCTTTTCACCCATTCCCCCAATGCCCCTCCCAACTGGCAACCAACAAAATGTTCTCTGTATCTATGAGAATGTTTCTACCTGTTCATTTTGTTTGTAGATTCCATTGTCGATAGGTATGTATTCATTGCCATTTTGTTTGTTCATATATTTTATCTTTTTCTTCAAAAAGACCCTTTGTCATTTCATATAATAACAGTTTGGTGGTGATGAACTCCTTTAACTTTTTCTTGTCTGGGAAAGTCTTTATATGGACATCGATTCTAAATGACAGCTTTGTAGGATAGAGTAATGTTGGTTGTAGGTTCTTGCTTTTCATCACTCTGAATATTTCTTGCCACTCCCTTCTGGCCTGCAAAGTTTCTTTTGAGAAATCCTTATGGGAACTCCCATGTAGGTAACTAACTGCTTTTCTCTTGCTGCTTTTAAGAGTCTCTCTTTGTGTTGAACTTTTTGCATTTTGATGATGATGTGTCTTGGTGTGGGCCTCTTGGGGTTCATCTTGTTTGGGACTCTGTGCTTCCTGGACTTGTATGTCTGTTTCCTTCACCAAGTTAGGGAAGTTTTCTGCCATTATTGTTTCAAACAGGTTTTCAATTTCTTGTTCTCTCTCTTCTGTTTCTGGCACCCCCAAGATGTGAATGTTGGCACGCTTGAAGTTGTCCCAGAGGCTCCTTACACTATCCTCATTTTTTTGGGTTCTTTTTTCTTTTTGCTGTTCTGATTGGGCGTTTTTTGCTTCCTTATATTCCAAGTCAATGGTTTGCTTCTTGGATTCATGTACTCTACTATTGAGTCTGTGTAAATTATTCTTTAGTTCAGTTAATGCCTCCTTCATTTCTGACTGTGCATCCATCATTTCTGACTGGTCCTTTTTTATGCTCTTGAGGCCCTCACTAAGTTCACTGAGGTTCTCACTAAGTTCATTGAGCATCCTTATAAGCAGTATTTTGAACTCAGCATCTGTTAGGTTGCTTATCTCCATTTCGCTTAGTTCTTTTCTTGGGGTTTTGTTCTGTTCTTTCATTTGGGACCTGTTTCTTTGTCTCCTCTTTTTGGCTGCCTCCCTGTTTGCTTCTGTGTATTACTTAACGAGAGGTATGGGGCTAGCTGAGACCAGATGCTGCTTGTTTGAAAGACTTTAGGAAAAACCTGAAGCAGGATCCGAGACAGGCCAATCCTATGGTTAAGCAACTGGCAACAGCTTGGGTGGGCCTGAAAGTTGGGTGGGCCTGAAAGTTGGGTGGGGTGGGGCGGGGCCTCAGGGAGTCACCAGGGCGGGGCTACCAGTGTGAGCCAGGTTGCTGGAATCCCAGATATGGCTTCTGTCTGCTGCCCCAGGAAGGGCTCACCAAAGGAACAAAGGCCTCTGACAGCACGTTTGTCCTGAAGAAAGCTCCCTCTCCAGCCCTCGCTCCAATGCCAAACAGTTCAGTTCTTCCCTGTATGTCTCTGGCGCCCCTCGAGCTGCCTCCCCTCCAAGCTTAGAGGGAGTGAGTCCGATAAGTTCGTGCGCGGGCCCTTTAGGGAGCTGCCTGGGGCTCCAGCCGCTTCAGCCTCCCTGAGCCTCAGTTCCCGCTGGTTTCTCCAGCCAGAAGTTATGGGGATTCTCTTCCTGGCACTGGAACCCTGAGCGGGGCATCTGGTGTGGGACGGGGACCCCTCAGTCCTCAGGGAGGACCTTCCCAGCCGCAGGAGCCTCCTGATTTTTATCCGCCACACGTGGGTGTGGGACCAGCCTCTCCGCCTCCGCCCCTCCTACCAGTCTGGATGTGGCTGCTGCTTTAATTCCGTAGTTGTAGGACTTCCATTCAGCTTGATTTCAGGCGGTTTTGAATGATGGTTGTTCTGTAGTTTAGTTGTAACTTTGATGTGGTTGTGGGAGGACGTGATACCGCGTTTACCTACGCCGCCATCTTGACCGGAAGTCGGGAGTTGATATTTTTACTGTAAGTTGGTTGAGTGTGCAGTAAAGTTAAATGAAATTTCTTTGAGTTTGCTGTGTTAACTGAATAAGGGAGAGAAGACATTCGAGCCAGCAGGTGGCGCTGCAGGACCAAACAAGCCCTAGCCAGGATGGCTTTCTCCAACTGTTCCTGCTGTGCCCAATTTGGAGTTTCCTTTATTCCACAAAGGGATGTGGATTCTCCATCTCCTGAGTGAGGCTCCCATGTTCCTCCCTCCTTCTCTCCTACCCTCCTGCACCCCGTGCTGATTGAGAATGAATTATGTGAAAAACAGCCCATCACATACGAGACCACGACCGTATTGAGCTGGTTCCTCAGCATGGTCCGTTTCCTTTGCAAGCTGTCCAGGTGTGCGGAGACGCTGCCCTTTCCGTCTTTCCACAGAGCGTGGGCAGCCAAGGTGGCCCCAGCACCAACAGCAGAACATGAGGGAGCCTCCCTGGGATGTTGGGAGGCATGAAGCTGCACCCCCAGGAAGGGCCAGGATCAGAGTGACATGAGGGGAGGCATCCACCTTGGGTACACTGAAAGTGTATTAATCAAGATATAAATGATATTTTAATGAAATATTTTTTAAATTTCAAATTAATGCACACAAAACATTGTAATAAACACAAGTTGGGACTGTGGTCAAGGAAGGGAGAAAGGTTTGGGAAGGCAGGAAGGGCCTTGGGGTTGGAGATAACCAAAGCACCAAGGTGGTTTCCCATTGCACCTGCCAATGACACAGCATCAAGTCTTCCCCAAGCCTACCTACAGAGTTCACAGCTGAAAACGGTGGCAACCAGAGCCTCCTAATCTCTGCCTCTTCACACGTGTTGCCAGATGGACATCTGTGTCCATTCGTTTCCCCATTGCAGGATGGGAAACCTGAGAGACTGGGCCGTTAAAATCCCAGACTGCTATGAACTGTTCTCTCTTGTTCTCCCAAAGGCAGCCAAGTATCCCCGAGTTGGCTCTCATCGTATGAGTCAGCAGTGGGTTGCAGCAACAAGCATTTCTTGCTCCTGTTATGATGGGCTGTTGGTAAGCAGTGGCTTGGCAGCGCTCTGCCTGGCTCCACGAATGTTCTCATTCCCAACAGGGCCCACGTGTCCAAGCCTGAGGTCCGTGAGATGGACCGTACACTCCACCGAGAGCAGGGCTTCTCTGCCTAAGTGCTGTTGACATCTTGGGCCCTTTTCATCCTTGTGGTGAGGCTGTCCTATGCATTTTAGGACGTTTAGCAGCATTTCTGACCTCTACCACTAAATGCCAGTAGCATTCCCCTCTAGTTGTGACAACCAAAACTGTTCCCTCAAGGACAAAATTACCCCCAGTAGAGAATCACAGACGTACTGGGAAGCATGGCAGGGGTAGGAAGGGTATGAAGAATCGTGGACAAAATATATAATCTGTGCCCAGCCAATGATAAATGTGGCTTATTTGAACACATCTCAATTTGGGGTTCAGGAATACCAGTCAATATACAGGAACTCAGTCTCTAAAAGGAGAGCCAGGGTCCTTATTTGTTCATCCCAGGATTGCCCAGCGTGGCTGCCTCTCCGATGACCGTGCCCACCTCCCTCACCTTACACAGAAAGCCTTTTTTTTTAAAAATCTTATCCAGTGGTTTCCAGGCCCTATTGTAGGCTTGCTGAATCAGAAACGGGGTTGAGTCCAGCCATCTATATTGTAATAAGCCCTCCTGGTGACTCCGGTGCACAGTAGAGTTTGAGAACATTTGCTTTAGTCTAAAGAAGTGGGTTTTGGACAGGGTCTTGTGGGGCCCCTGCACCGGAGGTGCTCATTCAGCAGGCCTGGGGTATAGCCTGGTCTGGGAATTCTATGACATCTCTTCTGGTGCATGGGATGCACGTAGGTGTCTGTTCAGAACATCCATTATAGAGACTTCTCTAGCTTCTTGGGCCAAAGCCTGTTGGACTCAGGTAGGGACCATCATGCATTTGTCATGATACTGCATCATGCATCTCTGGGTATTTGTTGAGCCTCTGTTATTTGCTGATCCCCATGCTAGCCTCTGTGGAATATTGAAAAGCACATAAAGCAGGATTCTGGTGTTCTATTAATTTGCAGTCCAGCGACATCATAGTAAAGAAATAAGTGAGGTGGAAACATAGCCAGCCAAATATATAGCAATAACAGTAAAATTAGAAACTTACCATGATTAGTGGCTGCCATGACCTAGGGCTCTGAAGGCCTGATGAACTGGGCTGTAGTCAGCTCAGCACCCAGCAAGGAGCTCACGGTACACGCACGAAGCGCCTTCAGGAGCGTTACCATAGCAGGTGCTTGTCCTCCGGCTGCCGTTCACAGCTCTGCTGTCGTGATTGTTTGTGGATTGGATTTCTCTCAGCATCTAAACACAGTCTTTCGATGACTAGAGAATGTTTTTATTTATTTATTCATTCATTCATTTATTTTATCTAAGGCATTTTTAAGTTCCCATACCACTGTTTGCATGTATTTAGTCAGGATGTATTGTGTTTTGAGGGCTGACCACGTGCAGTCACTGTGGGAGGGCTTTATGTGCATTTTAAAATCTTTTTGTGCTACTGTGAGGGAAATAAAATGATCTTTTTTAGAGAAAAGGAAACTGGGGACCAGAGAAGTTCAGTAACTCGCCCAGGATCATGCAGCAGAGTGAGGTCCGTTTGACTCCATGGCCCATGGCCTTGCAGGAACGGACATATAAATGTCTGAAAGCACTAAGTGGTATTTATGCAATCCTGCCCTTCTGACCAACCCAAGTGTTTTCCTCATTATAGGGGATCCCAACAAGCCCTCGGGATTCAGAAGCGTGAAGGCTCCGGTCACCAAAGTGGCTGCATCGATTGGAAATGCCCAGAAGCTGCCCATGTGTGACAAGTGTGGCACCGGCATTGTGTGAGTATCAGCCTTCCCCGGGCACTGGGCCTGCAGGCTGTTAACCATGAAAATACGGGGAGTGCTATACGTTGTACGTTTTGGGTTCATGGGCGAACACTCCTACCTGGGAGACGGAGCAGAGACCAGGTCGGTTCTGTGTCCCACGGGGAAGGTTTCCCTTCGCCACAGCACCCCTGGGTTATGAACACGTAAAACCCGAAGAAGCAGGGCTGCTCTGTTGAAGTGGGAGAGACTTCTGGAAGATTTTATTTTATTTTATTTTATTTATTTATTTTTTTATCCTCACCCGAGGACATTTTTCCATTTTTTGTACAGATAGGGTGGGAGGGAGAGAGAGGAAGAGAGAGAGAGAGAGAAACATCGATGTGAAAGGGACACATCGAGTGGCTGCCACCCGCACGACCAACCAGGGCCGGGGACAAACTGCAACCACGGTACATGCCCTTAGCGGGAACTGAACCCGGGTCTCTCCGGACCGCAGGCCAATGCTCTAACCGCTGAGCCAAACTGGCCAGGGCCTTCTGGAAGATTTTAAAGTAATGTCTCTGGACCCCAGGAATGAGAGGCCCCTTTATCAGTGGAGGCCAATGGGGAGGCCCTGGTCTGCCTTTCCATGGGCCTCGTGGGAGGAGCCCCTGGCCCGGGTGCCACCTTCCTGTGCTTGTCCCTGACCGAGCCCTGTCCTCCCTCCTCTGCAGCGGCGTGTTTGTGAAGCTGCGGGACCATCACCGCCACCCTGAGTGTTACGTGTGCACCGACTGCGGCACCAACCTGAAACAGAAGGGCCATTTCTTTGTGGAAGATCAAATCTACTGTGAAAAGCATGCCCGGGAGCGGGTCACCCCACCCGAAGGCTACGACGTGGTCACTGTGTTCCCCAAGTGAACCAGCTGATGCGCACCAGACACTGTTCTCCAACCGGCCCCTGCTGCAACATGTCCTCAGTACCCTTGCCCTCTCCTCTCTCGGAGGTTCTTCCTCCGGTTGATCCCGGCCCCGTCAGTGTCCTGCCCCCGCACTTTGCTAACTGCCGCGCACTGCTGTGATGCCTGGCTCGGCACGGACCGGAAGCCTGTTTGTCCAGTGTCCCCAGGCCGCCTCCCCACGTCTTCCCTTCACCTCGGTGCACCTCTGCTGCGGGTGGCCAGCAGCCGGAGTTGAACCAAACCAAATTTTAATGTCTGCCACTGATTTTGTTTTTACTCAATAAATTTATAGACTCGACGGCCGTGTGGTGTCCTGGATCATTTGACCCTGTGTTCTATTTCCTGTCTCAAGCCAGCTGAGATTTCTGGAACCGCTCCTCTTGCCTTGGGTTCCCCACTTCCCAGATTTGCAGCTTTTCCCTCCGGGTGTGAGAAACTTGGCGTGTGAACAAGCCATGTGCTGATGTTTCTTTGAAGCTTGCCCCAAATTGTCTTTCTAACTTGGTGCTAATAGACTTTGTTGTATTATAATGAAGTGATGTTTTCTTTACATCTGGCCTTTCTGGGGTTTATCTGAGGAAATGAATGCTTTCCAAATAATGGGGAGCTTTACCAGTGGCCTTAAAATATTCCCTAGTAAGTCCCTCTGCAGGCGGGTTGCTGCCAGTTCAACCCCCTCTATGAAGGGACGAGACCCCCTAACAGCCAGCAGCACTGACCCTGCAGATTACTCACGGAAATGGCAAATGTGTCCTCTCAGAAGAGGCCCTGGCTGTTATGGGGTCTCGGGTCAGAGAGCTAAGGTCATCATAGATCATTTCCTGGTGACTAACCCCTAAAAAAGTCTTGCTCAAACAGTGCCGTCCGCAACCCTCCCGAGACAGACTAAGCGATTTGTTAGGAGAGTGGCCAGGGCACTCCATCCAACCTTCCTTCCTCCAAAAGGCCACATCCTTGAGCAGTGGTCACCACCACGGGTAATAGCGTCTGCCCTCTGCTGAAGGGACTAACTTGCAGGGCTTGCTCTAATAACAAGGACCTAGTGAGACAGCAGTGTGAGGATTCCAAGCCTCAGATCTCTGAAACCAGAACATGCCGTACACAGCGTGGACAGGAGCAGTTCTGGTCTACACGACTAGGAACGAAACCTCAGGTAAAGACTTCATGTTAAATTTCTACATTTCTGTTTCTACATTTGTAAAAGGCAAGGTAGCTTAAACTTTGCAGTTTGGGAAATCAATATGAACAGTTTGATTCTTTTATAAGTACAGTAATAACTGATTTGGTTTTATTGATTAGAAGGTAATAGATTCTTAGAACTTTCTTCAATCCCTTTCTTCAGGTAATTGCCAGTCAAATGTCTGACACATCCTTGGTCAGTGACTGTTACCCACGGGCACCGTGCTTCCTGTGGAGGCCAGACCAGGAGTGTCTCCACTGGGGCCCTTGGCCTCGGCCTCCAGGGCGAACTCCTGACCGAATGAAACAGGCTGTCAGCATTACTGCCCCGGGTGCGAGTTGTGTTAACATGGCCCGTGGCTCAGAACACTTCTTCCCCAGCCTTTGGTTTATAAGTTACTTCCTGCCAAGATCAATCCAAGGTTTGGCCTATTTCTTGTGTTTCTTGCCTATCATATTTATCTGATTTAATTTTTTTCTGTGGTGCTTTCTCTAAACTGAAGGCAGAATGGAAGGGGTATACTGGGACAGCTCTGGTCGGACCTGCACTGTTCTTTCTTTATTTTTTCTTTATTTTTAGAGAGAGGAAGGGAGAGGGGGAGAAAGAGAAACATCTATGAGAGAACATCGATTGGCCGCCTCCTGCATGCCCCCCACTGGGGATCAGGCCCACAGCCTGGGGTTGTGCCCCCACCGACCAGGAATCAAACCGGCGATCTCTTGGTGCATGGGCTGATGCTCAACCAGTGAGCCACACTGGCTGGGCTGACCTGCATTGTTCTTTAATTGCTAAGCCTTTGGACAACTAAGGAAAAAGCCAGAGTCACACACTTCGATCAAGCTTTGACTTAGAACACTCTTCTTCCATTTTTTGACTTAGTTAACATCAGTAGCCTTTTTTTTTTTCCATCCTCACCCGAGGACATTTTTTGCATTTATCTTCAGACAGAATGGGAGGGGAGAGAGAGAGAGAGAACCATCAACATGAGAGAGACACATCGACTGGTTGCCACCCACACAACCCCATCCAGGGTCAGGGATGAACTGCAACCGAGGTGCCTGCCCTTATTGGGAACGAAACCCGGGACTCTCCATTCCGCGGGCCAACGCTCTAACCGCTGAGCCAAACCGGCCAGGGCAACATCAGTAGCCTTTCAAGATGAAGCCCCAGCATCCTTCTCCAGACGGGCTCGTCTGATGGCCGCCGTGCCTAGGATGCCGTCTCCCATGCCCTGTATTCAGGGCATGCCTTGGGACGCATCACACAAGACACAAGTCACTCGTCTCCTGAAAGGGTGAAGCCCCTACAAGAGCCAGGCCTCAGTCTTCTCCAGCTTTGTCTATTCAGCGCCGAGCAGAGAGAGAGTGCACAAGTGTTTGTTAGATTAATCCATAAATGAATGCTTCGTCACTGGTAGAATAGGATGCAAGGCCCTGGCTGGTGTGGCTCCGCTGGGGGAGTAAGCTCAAATGTAGCTCGGTGGGTTATTGGCGTTGTAGACTGCTGCCCTAGGTGCTGTGGTGCCCAGTCCACCTGCAGGCAGGACACGGGCTTCTCTGCCTCGCTGCTGGCAGTGCTGCTGGTTGACGGACATCAGTTACCAGTCCTCTTCCTCATTGTCCTAAGTCATTCACTTGTCCCTGGGAGCTCACGTGCAGTGACTGAGCAGTATAGGGCAGTGGTTCTCATGCTGGGGGGTCGCAACCCCTTTGGGGGTCGAATGACCCTTTCGCAGGGATCGCCTAAGACCATCAGAAAACATATTTCCGATGGCGATTCATAACAGTAGCAAAATTACAGTTATGAAGTAGCAACAACAATAATTTTATGGTTGGGGGTCACCACAACATGAGGAACTGTATTAAAGGGTTGTGGCATTAGGAAGGTTGAGAACCACTGATAAGAGGCATAAAGTCCCTCTCCGCGACCTCACATGGCTCTGAAGGCTACCTGTCCTTTGTTGAGACAGCACCGTAGCTCCGCTGCTCTTCTCTGCCCAGTCCTTCCTTCCTTCCTTCCTTCCTTCCTTCCTTCCTTCCTTCCTTCCTTCCTTCCTTCCTTCCTTCCTTCCTTCCTTCCTCCCTCCCTCCCACCCTCCCCCCTCCCTCCCTCCCTCCCTCCTTCCTTCCTTCCTTCCTTTCTTCCTTCCTTCCTTTCTTCCTTCCTTCCTTCCTTCCTTCCTTCGTGTGTGTGTTAATCCTCAGCTGAGAATTTTTTTCATTGTTTTTTTTTTTTTTAGATAGAGTGGAAGGGATGGAAAGGGGGAGAGAGAGAAACATTGATGTGAGCAAGACACATTGATTGGTTGCCTCTCGCATGACCCCGGCCAGAGCCCGAGATCAAACCTGCAACCCAGGTATGTGCCCTTGACCAGAAATCAAACCCCCAACCCTTTGGTCCTTAGGCCAATGCTCTAACTGCTGAGCCAAACCGGCCAGGGCCGGTCATGCTTTCCTTCTCTCCCCCCGGGGTGATGATCCTAAAAAGCCTCCCTAATAAAACTGCTGGTTACTAACCTTTGGCAGTTGGTATCAGGAGTGGCCCCTCAAAGCAGATGCCAAGATGGGATCTGGATGGCTCACCTGTTGCTTGGCTGGCAATGAGGACCCAGTCCATGCTGACCAACACAGCATGACAGCCCTGGCACACAGAGAAAGGCAGTTGAAATGTTCACCGAGGGAGGATGGGGTTGGCTTCCCTGTGGAAGGGAATGCATGAAGCATTGGATGAGTATGGGATTACTGCCAGGCCGGTGGCTCAGTGGTTAGACGTCGACCCATGCATGGAAGGATTGGTTGCAGGTTTGATCCCCAGCCATGGTCAGGGCGCATGCAGGAGGCACCTAATTGATGTGTCTCTGTCACGTCGTCGTTTCTCTCTCTCCCACCCTTCCCTTTTATTCTCTCTAAAAATGAATGCAAAAAATATCCTTGGGTGAGGAGTAACAAAAAAAAAATATGGATTTACATAGTAATGGTAAGAACAGTGAATTGGATGCTTATTGCCAAGCTCGATTGATACTTTGGAAAAAAGTATGAGAAAGGGTGAAAATGATCAATTAAAAGCTAAGCGTGGAGGCCAGAGGTCCATCCTAGTAGAATATAAAGAAAGAGAGCCCAGCTTTAAGCCGAGGAATTAATCATAAGAATAGTAGACTTCTAAAAGGGGTGAAACTCCCAACCTTGACAGGTCTGCTATGCCAAGGCCAGGGCTCGGTTTGGGAGTGTGTGGGATGGGAACATCTGAGCCAATGTCTAAGAAACTCCTTTTTAAAAAAAATTTTTTTCTTTATTGACCTTAGAGAGGAAGGGAGAGGGAGAGAGAGAAACATCGACGGGAGAGAGCATCAATTGGCCACCTCTTGCATGCCCCCCACTGGGGATCAGGCCCACAACCTAGGCATGTGCCCTGACCAGGAATCAAACCAGTGACCCCTTGGTGCATAAGTTGATGCTCAACCACTGAGCCACACTGGCCTGGCTCAGAAACTCTTGACCTCCACAGTTTCCTGAAACATTGCTCCGTGGAGAAGTGCAGGTGGCCAAGCGCTGAGAGCCTCCAGCGGAGGGTTGTGCTGGGCTTCCCTCCTCCCTTCCTCTGAACAGTCTCTTCCCATGATGGTGTTGAATCAGTTTAGAAAGAAAGAAGGCATTTCCGCCCAGTGGGATCAGGCCAAGGAACTGAATTGCTAAAAGCCTTTGGTAGAAGCCACTCATTGCACTGAATCAGCAGCCAGTTCTGATGACAAACATACCTCCAAACCTTGGCAGAACATCTCCTGTTGAACTAAGAGAGGGTTGACTCCACTGTGATTACATGTTTACTTCTGTGGATAATATTTGCTTCTGAAGGGAGGCGGTGTGGTGAATGTTCTCTAACTTCTCACACGAATGTTCTTACGTCTTTAGCTGAAAGCCTTCCCAGCCCCTCAGCAGCCTTGGCATCGGCAAGGAATCCGAGGTTGACTAGATGCTGCGGGAGAAACAGGAGTCAGACTAAAGTAGTCCACGTCATTCCTGCTTTACAGGAAATCCTGGCGTCTGAAGAGAAGGATGACCGGCCCTTCGGGCAGGCGGGGCTCTAGTTCAAGGCCTGGGGTGAGGGTCAGTCA